GCAAAGCATTTTATTGTGTGGATTACAACAAATTGTGACTACCTTTAAGAAGAATGGGAATCCTAGAACACTTGATTGTGCTCATGTAAAACTTATACTTGGACCAGAAGGCTGGTCATCAGAACAGAGCAAGGAAACATTACACCATTCAAAATTAGGAAAGGAGTGGCATCAGGGATGTGTCCTGTCTCAATAACTTTTCAATCTATATGTGGAACATATCATTCAGGAGGCTGGGCTTTATGAGGAGAAATATAACTTTAGGATTGGAGAAAGATTCATTAACATTCTGCGTTATGCAGATGATGCAACCTTGTTTGCTGAAACTGAGGAGGGCCTGAAGCATCTGCCACAGAGGGTTAAGGACTGCAATATAGATTCAATCTCAACATCAAGAAAAGGAAGATTCTCACCACTGGGCCAATTGGCAGCACCATGATAGAGAAGAGATTGAGGTTAACAATTTCGGCTTGCTTGTTTCCACGATCAACATTCTTGTACCAGCAGTCCAGAAATCAAATGATGAATTGTGTTAGAAAAATCTTCTGTCAGTGATGTCTCCAGAGTTGTCAAGACCAACAATATCAGTCTGGAGACTAAGGTGAGCCTAATCTGGACCATGGTCTTCACAATTACTTGCTATGCATCAGAAAACTGCTCAATGACTAAGAATGAGAGGAGAAGAACAAATGTCTTTGAGTTGTGGTGCTGGAGAAGAGTATTGAATATACCATAGACTGGCAATGGAATAAACAGGTCTGTCCTGGAGAGGATAAAACCAAGCTACTCCTTGGAAGCAAAGATTTTGAGACTTCATCTCATATACTTTGATTATGTAGCCAGGAGGGGCCAGTTTTGGAAGAAGGTGGCAGGATAGCACAAGAGAGGAAGACCCCAGATGAGATGAATTGACCCAATAACTGAGGTAAAATGTGGGTAAGTGTGTCAGAAACAGTGAGATTGGCTCAGGATTGTGCAAGGTTCAGAGCTATTATGCATAGGATCACTATAAGTCGTCATTCATTTGACAGACCATAACAACATTTTCCCTGGACATATGAGGTTTTGGTAGATGTTAGAATTTTTGCCTGGTTGAAGTAGTAATGATAAAATAATTGAAGAAAGAGTTGTATTTTAAAAAGCATGGAAGTGAAGTAAATGCAGTAGCTCCTTCTCATTGCTATCAAACTGGAACTGACTTGTCATTGACCCACTAGCAAGCTATCTGAGGCTGGAAATCACACAGGAGAAAACTGCCCATCTTGTGAAGCTGCTGGTTGATTTTAACCTCTTGTGTCTGGATTTGAGCACATGAGAGCTAAAAACGAAGTAGAGCTAGAGGCAAATATCAGGGTCAAAAATATATTTCTAAAACAGAAGAAATAACATTTTTAATGCCTATGGGATTCATCAACCTCCCCTGGGAAACTCCAGTAGCATAAATGGAGGAGAAGATGCCCTAAGGCACAAGAAGTCAATCCTGGAGCAGAAGTTCAAAACTCCTGAAGTCAAGAGATACAACCCACAGAGGGAAGAAACTGGCAGCAGCTTGAGGCATTAGGAATCACAGAGGCCCAGAAAGAGTGACATATAGGCCATGACATCAAAGGCTGGATACGTAAGATTGATGTTGAATGGAATAAATGGGAATAGATGTAAATGCTGATGGAGCAGGGAAAAGAGTGTCTCAAAACACACCTGGCAAGGTGGGACAATATGGAATCTATTGGTTTTTTTCTACTACTGGGAAATATCTTTAATCTGTTCCTCTCTGTAAAATGCTTGTCTGTCAGATAATGTTCTAAATCTGAGGAATCAAATTAAGACAGACTAGGAAAAAGGATTAGCCATCCATTTCCAAAATAGCAGGACATTGAAAACCCTATGTACAACAGAGCACACTTAGACTAGCAGATATGACAACTGAGGCTGAGCCTTCAAGTATGGAAACAAATAGGAGGAGGAACAGCTGTAAGCAGACACTAGTGATTGGATCATGGAATGTAAGAACCATGAATGTAGGAAAATTGGATATTGTTAAGAAGGAAATGGAACACATAAATATTGACATACTAAGTATTGGTGAAATGAGATGGATGGGCATGTGACATTTTGAGTCAGAGGATCATATGATCTACTATGCTGGAGATGAAAAGGTGAGGAAAAATGGGGTTGGTTTCATAGTTTAAAAAAGTAGTTTCTCGATCTGTCTTGAAATAAATTATTGTGAATGACAGGGTAATATCCATACACATACAAGGAAAGTCCAATGAATACCACCATCATTCAAATATATGTATCAACAACCAGAGACAAAGAGGAGGAAATAAAAGATTTCTATCAACTTTTGCAGTCAGAGATTGATCGAACATGCAATCAAGATGCATTAATAATAATTAGGGTGACTGGAATGCAAAAGTTGGGAATAGAGAAGAAGGATCAATAGTTAGAAACCATGGACTTGGTGACAGAAATAAAGCCAGAGATAGAATGATGGAATTCTGCACAGTTAATGACTTATTCTTTGCAAATACATTTTATAAGAAATATAAATGCAGGCTATACACATGGATTCCACGTGATGGTATGCATAGGAATCAGATCAGTTACATTTGTGGAAGGAGCTGCTGGAGAAGCTCAGTATCAGTTGTGAAAACTAGGCTAGGTGCTGATTGTGGAACAGACAATCGATTACTTATATACAAGTTCAAGTTGAAGCTGAGGAAAATTAAATCAAGTCCACAGGAACCAAAATTTCACCTTGAGTCTATACCATATGAATTTCAAAACCATCTCAGGAACAGGTTTGAGGCACTGAATGAAGAACAGATGAGCTGTGGGAGGATATGAAGAATATCATCCAGGAAGAATGCAAAAGATCATTACAAAGACAGAGGAGGAAGAAAAGACCAAGATGGATGTCAGAAGAAACTCTAAATATTGCACTGGAGCACCAAGAAACCAAAGCAAAAGAAATAAATAAAGATATTAAAGAGTTGAACAGAAGATTCCAGAGGGCAGCATGGGAAGATAAAGTACTACATTGATATGTTCAAGGAACTAGAGTCAGAAAATCAAAAGGGCCGAACTAGCTCAGCCTTTCTTAAGCTGAGGAATTGAAGAACAAATTCAAACCTTGAGTTGCAATACTTAAGGATGCTTTGGGCAGAATATTAAATGATCCAGGAAGCATTAAAAGAAGATGGAAAGAATATTGTCATTGGACACAGAAAAATTTCCTGAAACAATGTATGAACAAGAGCCTGTGGTGAGGAAGGAAGTTCAAGCTGCTCTGAAAGAATTGGCAAAAAATAAGGCCCCAGGAATTGATGACATACTGATTGACATATTTTAAAAAATAGACCCTGCCCTGGATGTGCTCACCAAGTTGTACCAAGAAATATGGAGGACAACCACCTGGCCAACTGAATGGAAGAGATCTATATTTGTTGCCATTTCAAACAAAGGTCATACAACAGAATGTGGAAATTATCGAACAGTATCATTGATATCACATGCAAGCAAGATTCTGCTGAAGATTATAGAAAAACGAATGGAACAGCACATCAACAGAGAACTGCATATTTGACTCTGTGGATCACAACAGACTCTGGCTGACTCTGAGAAGAATGGGAATCCCAGGACACTTGATTGTACTTATGTGAAACCTATACTTGGACCAGGAGGCAGTTATCAGAACAGAGCAAGGAAACACTGCATGGTTCAAAATTGGGAAGGGTGTGTGTCAAGGCTGTGTCCTATCTCCATATCTTTTCAATCTATATGCGGAACAGATAATCTGAGAGGCAGGGCTCTATGAGGAGAAGTGTGGCGTCAGGATTGCTATGTAGATGACATAAACCTGCTTGCTGAAACTGTAAAAGACCTGAAAAAAAAAAAAAAAGAAGTTCAAGGACTGCAGTCTTCAATATGGATTGAAACTCATTGTCAAGAAAACAAAGATTCTCACCATTGGGCCAGTTGGCAGCTTCATGATAAACGGTGAAGAGATTTAGATTGTCGACAGCTTTAGTTTGCTTGGCTCTACAATCAACACTCTTGGTCCCAGCAGCTAGGAAATTAAAAGGCGAATTGCGTTGGGAAAGTCTGCTGTTAGAGACCTTGCCAAAGTACTGAAGAGCAATGATACCAGTCTGGAGACTAAGGTGTGCCTGATAGAGGCCATCATCCTTGCAATTACTTGCTACGTATCAGGGAGCTGGACAATGACTAGTGGCGATATAAGGAGAGTTAATGCCTTTGAGCTGTGGTGCTGGAGAAGAGTATTGAATATACCATGGACTGCTAGGAGAACAAACAAGGTCATCCTGGAGAGGGTGAAGCTAGGCTGCGCCTTGGAGGCAAGGATTCTGAAGCTTTGTATGACATACTTAGGACATGTTGCAAGGTAGGATCAGTCCGTGGAGAGGGATGTCATGCTTGGGAGGGTGGAGGAACAGTGCAGGACAGGAAGACCCTCAATGTGATGGATTGATTCAGTCACTGTGGTGATGGAGACAGGTGTGTTGAAGACAATAAAAATGACAATAAAAGAGATAGAGCAGGGTGTAGGCTGTTGTACATAGGGTCGCTATGAGCCGTAGGCGACTCGATGGCACATAACAACACTAAACAACTTGGGAAAGATCTGAAAATGAGGGCAATATTGATGGTATGAAACAGAGGAGAATGAATCTGGTGCCCACATGGAAGAGTAAACCTTAGAATAAGGACAGTATAGCCACCATAAAAGTAAAGATAGAGCATATGCACACAGTTGCTTCATAATTTGTTGTTGTGGAGGGTTAGGGTTAAGGTTAGGATTAAGCTCATGTTCTTCATATCTTTTTGGGCCTCATTCAGGATATCTACTACTGAGTTCCATATGGAGCACATCCCAGTACATATTTGATTGAATTAATCATTCAGTGACTTTATGGTGGGGGCAAGTACCAAGGGACTTAAAGAGATTCTTTCTCAATGACTTTTCTGTTCTACAGGAAACAATCCAGAAGACAATCCATGCAAAATATTGTAGCAGATTTGTCCACACTCCCTGGAAAGATGGGAGCTTGGTCCATGTCCATGTTACTAAGGAGAAGTACAAGTGGTACAATGAAAGAATTAATCTAGTTCTCAGCCAGATTGAAAGGAGGTGAGTGTATTTCAATCAAGAAGAGTACTAGAAGTCTAATTTCCCTTGAAATGGAAAACTTCTTGGTATTTTGGTAAAAGCAAACCAAGTGAAATGGCCAATAAAAATTGCTAGGTCAGAGTAGATGCCAATGGCCTTTTGTCACTTGGATTTCGAATTGCTTGATGTCAGCTTCTTAAAAAACAGAAAATTTCTAAAAACAGTGAACAAAAGGTGTATTTATCACAATGATTTTGTGTGATTGTGGAAGGCTAAGAAGTGCTTCTACTTACATCTTAGGGTTTTTGTGGGCCAAAGGTATATTTTAGACTGTATTAAATCTGCCTTCAACCATTTGAATATTATAATTTTTTAAACATTGTGAAATATTTCAGTACAATTAAAGGGTTTGTTTTTGTGGTTTTTCTTTTAAATAATTGAGCTGAAAATAACTTCATTACCATAACCCTGCTGTTTCTTAAAACCTAAAATACGAGTCTGGTCTGTCAAGTTAGTGAACTCAAGATTGTCTATGCAGGATGATCTTCCCGTTCAGTCTATCACCTCCTCTGATGCCACTGTAGACCAAGAAGAACAAATACATCCATGAGGCACATGGATCTGGGATAAAATATAGAGCAGGCTTCTAATTCCAGCTTTGTTATTTGTTCCATTACCCAGGGAAAGTTACTGTCTTTGAGTACCACATCCATCATTTAGAAAGGAGGCATAATTTCACTGATCTTTTCTTATGAATTAGATTAGATACCAAATCAAATAGGTTTCAGAGGTTGGAACTGACTCAGACTTGACCCTGCAGTAGGTTTTTCAGAGGCAGTGAATTGTATAGGAGTGGACTGTCCATCCTTTTCCTATGGAGCAGCTAGTGAATGCAAATAGCGTGCCTTTGAGATTGTGGTGCAGCTTCTTACTGTTAGACCACCTGAGCTCCTCAGAGTTCGCATATTGTTCATTGCTTGTTAGTATTGTTGTTGTTTTAGTATCCTCACTTTCTTCTGCAGGCTGGAACCCAGTATAGCAGTCATTTGTCCATTCTGTCTTATGGGCGGCCTTTCTTTTTTTTCTTTGACCTTGTAGTTCTCCAAGTATGATTTGTCAGGCTCCTCCTGACAAAATGCCCTCAGAATGTGAGAAGTTCCACCATCCTTGCCTCTGATTGTACTTCTGACAAAACAGTCTTGTTTTTTCTTTTAGAGTCCATGGTTTATTTGATACTCTTAGCCAACACCACAGTTCAGTGGCTTTCGTTCTTGTTGTTGTTATGCACCCTTGAGTGACTCCTAGAGTCTTTCTAGCTATAAACCTGCCACATTATTCCATTTCTTTAGGTATTTTTTTGTTTCTTGCAGTGTGTTCTGTAATTTTTTTGTATAGGCCTTTTGTGTCTATAATTTGATTTGTCTCTTAAGTTTAATTGTATGAGTAGCTGTTGTAATTGATATTGGTTTTCTTATTTCCAGAAAAGTTAGCAGGATAAAAGATCAACAAATAAAAATCAGTCGGATTTCTTATAGAAAGATTTTCAATTGAATATTCACTTGTTTAAATATAAATCTGGTATTGATAATATATGTCTTAATTTTCCAATCAGTCTGGTTTGAATCTATTTTACTGTTCTTTTCAAAGAATCAGCTTTTTAAAAAATTTTATTAATTTTAATGAACATTTATAGAGATTTTGGATTTCCACTCTTTTATTGTTGCACTTTTCTCCCTGCCCACCCATCCCTGCCAGTTTACTCCTCTCTTTGAAAAGTGAAAGAAAAATTCCTTCATTGGGATCAGCTTTTTTTAAACAAATAAAATTTTATTTTAAATGTGATTTTAACTAATATTTACAGAGAAGATAGATTTTAATTCTCATTCATTCATTGAAAGTTTTACCCCCAGCTCTCCCTTCCCCTTCCTCCAGTTCACTTTTTTTTTAAGTATTCATTCATTTTGCACATTTACCTCCCCCCTCCGCCACCCGTAGTCTTCTTTGCAATGATCTAGCTCTTATTCTGGGCTGTTGTCCTACATCTCATACATGATAATGTATTTATTCTTGTTGTTATGTGCTGTCGAGTCGTTTGCAACTCATAGCGACCCAATGTACAACAGCCCTAAACCCTGCTCTATCCTGTGCAAATCACACTGCCTCTGACACACCCATCCCGATTACCCCAGTCACTGAATCAATCCATC